GCAATATAGGGGAATACCTTCAAAGTCTATCTGATGTGATACAACATGCGGTGAAACATGAATTGCACGTTAGAGATTAATGGAGTTTAACTTTGCAATGTTAACGATAAAATCTAGCTTACTCAAGTTGGATTCAAGAAACTTCGTGATAGATTATGTTAACGGCAGTGATTACATTTAAGAATTACAAGAGTCTTGCAAAATATAACCAAAATAAACTAGATAATGCAAATAGCTACTACTAAAACGACACTTTTAAAATTTAGATCATTCACCTTGAGGTCCTTTCATTGCTCTCGAAAATATGTGCTAGCGGAGGAGGATTGTAAGTAAACTCAACGATGCCACTAATAGACAAGTAATCCCGAGAGGACTCGTCGCCGAGGAGGATGCCGGATTTGGAGGAGCGGGTGGGCGGCCGTCGATGATCCACTCGGAGTCTGGACGTTGTCTGTCGATGACTCGGATAAGAGACGGGAGGATCCGATCCAAGTAATCTCCAACAGTATCTTCGTCGGATTCGAATCCCGCGTCGAAGAACGGCGATCGATGGATGTTGAGGTTGCCGTGAGCGTCAAACACAAGTCCCCATTCTAACTCCGGATCCGCCATTAATGATAGGGTTGCGTAGAGAGAGCACAAGGGGGAGTGGGGAAGTGGGCCGGGAAATTGGGGGAGAAAGGTGGTCACGGTTTGGTGGTTTAGAGGGGTTTGGCCAAGGTGGGGTGGCCAAAGAGGGAGTGCAGAAATTCTGAGTAATTTCAGAATTTTGGGCGGTCTAATGGGGGTGATTTAATTTGGAATTCAATTAAATCACAAAGGTGGAAGGGGCGGCTAAAGGAGGAGGAGTGGGGGCTGATTTTGGGGAGTTAATATGTCATTTGGAGGAGAGAGAGAGGCCCACTAAGAGTGGCCGGCCATATGAGGAGGAGAGAGGGAGGTTTGGGAGTTATGAGAGTGGGGCCCAAGTTTAAGTAAGAAATTCAATTAAATCTGAATTTTATTTCAGATTTAATTGTGACTTAGGTAACTTCCCACAAGTTAAAATGAGAGGGAGATCTAATTTGAAATTCAAATTAGGATTTAATTTCATTAATGAGATCCCATAATTAAAGGGAGCCAATTAGGAAAGTGTTTAAACGAAATTTGAAATTCAAACCATAGGGATTCAAGGGGGAAAGAGGCGGTGGGAGAGGGCTGCTGGGTTGGCCGGTGGGGGGAAAAGGGGCTGGCCGGAGGGAGGTTGGTGGCTGGCCGGCGGCTGGTTGGCCGGCGGTGGCTTATCTAGCCGGCGGAAATTGGAGGCAGGGTGGCCGGCGGTTTTGAACAGCTTGGAGTGGGCGGTGGCAAGGAGCAAGAGAGGGAAATCAGTAAGGGAAAATCTTTGGATTCAAGCGTGAATTCCACTCTTCACAAATGCTTTCAACCCGAATCTCCACGACGACGAATCGATCACAAGAAATAAAGGAAGAAAAATGGTAGAACAAGAAGATCTAGAACTCACAAAGAGATCTAGCTTCTCCTACGAACTCACTAAGAGATCGAGGAGGGTGAACTCACAAAGAGATCATAAGTGGCAAATATTCTTCATTTCATCAAAAACTAAACTATTACATAAGAAAAGGGCCATATAAATAGGCCTCAAAATGACAAGAAAGCAAAAGACTAAAATGTCCCTCGGGCTACAATAACGATCAAATACCCATAAGGGCAAAAACGGAAAAACATAAAAATCAAATAAACTACTACATAAAATGATGAAAATAAAAAACATGATCGTGGTCGTCGATCTCTGGCATCTCCTGATGGTACATGTGTCGTAATCTCTGACGATGTCCTCATCACTATCTTCTGTCAATAACCACAATACTTTGAGCCAATCCATGCCTCCTTTTCAAATGATAAAGTAACATCCATAAACTAAAACTCTAGCAATAGAAGGCCTCGAACCACGGGCAACATAAACATCTAATTTCAAGGGTTTATCAAATATATGACCCAAGGAATATGGAGTTGATGGGTTGAAATAGTGTGATAGCTGTGGAAAGGCTATCCTAGCTAGGATGATGGATGGTTCCACAGGAGTGTCAAAATGGAGACTTAAATATGTATGCATATCGGAGAGCCACTTACATTGTAGGTGTCTAAAGAAGAGTTTGGCATAATTTGTATATGAAGATATCTTAATTAATGATGTGATGATGATGATCTATTAGTCCAGCTGAATGGTCACCAACCAAGTGAAGGTCTGATAGGGTATCAACATGGAGACTTAAATATGTATGCATATCGGAGAGCCACTTACATTGTAGGTGTCTAAAGAAGAGTTTGGCATAATTTGTATATGAAGATATCTTAATTAATGATGTGATGATGATGATCTATTAGTCCAGCTGAATGGTCCCCAACCAAGTGAAGGTCTAATAGGAATTTATAAATTATATCAAAATTTGGGCGACCCAATGAAAATTTATCAACAATTGACAAAGAAAGCAGATGAGCTCGCATTTGCCTTGTAAAGATGAAGGTTTTTTATGATTTAGTGGAGCAGAGTATTGATGAAAATGAAGGGGAAAGTGGACTGAAGTAGATGGATGCAATCTCATGTCTGAAGAGCCATCCACAAATTTAGCAAAAGAACAAAGGTTGCGAGTCGTTGGAGACTCAAGATCGGATGATATGTGAATAGCTGAAGGAGCTACCAACACAAGAAGCATGATTATGGCTTAATAAGAGGATCAATTGAGACTGTAGGAGCATACAAGGAGGGAGGTAACTACGGCGGAATAGTGATCGAGGAGAAAGAGGGCCGACAAGTGCAACCCAAAAGCTGCGAGGAAATGAGAGTGAGGGAAGAAAGCTACCCAGAGAGAAAGGCGCTAGTAAGGGAGTAACAGTGCAAGGGTAAAGCCCTAAGAGAACAATTTGGAGCCATCCCCCATGGACCAAAATACTTTTTTAACATTGAGTTTGCATATACAAGATATTTCTCTCTCTTGAAGGAAATAAGTTATATGGCTTCTTGAATAAATTGTTCTTGTCGGATGTTGGGCTATGAAATCCTATAAGAACTTTGCATTCATTTGAGAATGATGAAAGATATGGTGATCGTACTTTCTATTGACATCTTGTTAGCAAAATTTTCAGTTGAATCATCACTAATCCTAATATATCAATTGTTGATTGGGTGGTCAGTCAACATATGCATACAACAACAACATCAAGCCTTTATCCCACTATATGGGGTCGGCTGCATGAATCCTTTTTCTCTATTGTCCTATTAAAAGTTAATTTCTCTTTTAAATCTAATAAAAAAAGGTCATTCTTAAAGTTTTGAGATATATATATATATCTTTTAAGAAAATCTTTGATCGGTAAAAATCATAACCATTTCAGGATCAAAGCCTTTTTCAATGCTGAATACTCTCGATCTATTGAATATTCAAAATATGCTTCATGATATTGTATTTTTGTGAGTGTAAATATTGTATCCTAGAAGATTAAGAAGCAAATAATTGTAGCTAGATCGAGTGGGTGAAGTGGAATATTATGGCATGTTTTATTTTGTTTGTAAAATTATATGGATTAGAACTTCTATAGAAGAATTTGTATTTCCTGTTTCAAAATCTATGATCCTTAGTTATAGTAATTAAGCATCTATCTACATCGTAGGCAATCATATATTCCATTAAAGAATAAAATAAATTGAAGTTGTTTGGCACTTTGTTAGGGATGTAGTCTTGTTAAAGAGACCATCACTTCTCTTATATCAAGTGAAGAGAAATTGGTTGATATCTTTAATAAAGCTCCAAGCCCTCTTTATTTTTTCAATCTTTGTAAGAAGGAACTTTTGATGTATACACTCAAACTTGAGGAGGAGTATTATTATAGGAATATAAGAAGATTGGGAAGGTGCTATCTTTAGAAAGCATCATGTTAACAGAGACATTTTTTATCCTATTAATTGAGGTTATTCTCCTTTTTTTTCCTTTTGTGCTCACCTTGGCCTATATATAGGCACGAATTTTCAATTAATAAATATAAGAATTTTCTCTCTTTCAACAACCTTGATTAACTGTTGATGTAAGAAACAAAAAAATGATTCTTTTAACTCTAGAATTTAAAGATGAGCCTTATAATAGGAAAATCTGTTTAGGTTCATGTAATTTTAGGCGAAGTGTTCAATGGCATTGTTAAGAAATATGGTAATAAAAGGGAGAGGAGAGGATGCACCAAGAAGACTGTTTATAAAGTAGAAAACACAAACCCGTGTAGTCTCTTTGATGTAGAAAGCCCTTTGATCTCTATTTTGATTTTTTGTTGGTCCTTTCATTGCTCACTTCTTCTCTTTGCCTTGATGTGTTTCCTTACTACTTGAATTCATCGAAACCCATAAGCACTTGGATAGTGAGAATGGACGTGGTTAAAAGTTACAAGTGGGGATATATTACTTCGGTTGTCTAGGATTATTGGATATTATAAGGGGGAGGAAAATAAGACATTGTAAGGGCTAATCCCTTATTTTATAATGAGATATTATTAGATAAGCAAACCCTGTGAACTTAATTATCATCCTTTCTTATTTAGACCACCTTGATCTTAGGAGTGAATTTTGGGATATCCAAATCAAGTCCATGTACCCTTTATTTTGGGCCTGACCCTAATTTGACTATTTGATGTTGGAGCTTCGTTGAATCAGTGGCTTAACCATTGCAAATGATGGATGGCCCAGAAAGATGGTAGGCGAACTATATGAATTAAGTGAAGTTCAGTGCTCAAGATGTTGAAGTTCCCATTTGGTGAGAAGTAGTTTCTTGCTTTGAAAGTTTTTGTTTGGAAGCAAGCAGTGGTAAACTAGGAGGGACAGGAACTACTGGGATGATTGATTGGTGACGTATAATTTATTTATTACTTTTTTTCCCTATGTTAATTCCTTGACAGCTGCTCCAAATGGCAAATTTTCATTGTGCTGATATTTTTGGTTACAATTTTAAATATAGCTGCTTGCTAGACAACAAGCTCAGAGAGAAGAAGAACTTGCACAGTCACAAAGACATATCTTGGCTCTTCAGGTGAGCTCTGAATCACATGATATCCTCCCTCTCTTTTTCATTATATAAAATTTTAAGTCCACCAGGAAGAGATTGAGGAGCTGGAGCGTGAAAATCGTTTGCACAGTCAACAGGTATAATTCAATTTTCTTTATAGTATATTAGGGAAAGCTCGTGTACGTTGTACAGTCAGAACTTCGTGGACAAAAAAATCATTACTATTATTTTCCTTAAGCATGATCTTATCTAACTTGTGGGTCTCGTTATTTTTCAAATAAATATGATCTAATATTCTACAACTGAAGTGCTTTTTAGTTGGAATGGCATTTTTCAGGCATATTTGTATCATAAAACTTTCTAGATCTGAACGTTTGTAGGTCTCAGACATAAACACTAGGAAACAGACTAAACTAAGGCTTTGTTTGGTTGGGTTGTTGCTTATTTAAAATGAAGTTTTAGAAAATGTTAAGAAAAAGGGGTTTACTAAAACAGAGCTTTAATTATGAAATTTTGTTTGAGTAACATTTTTTTTTTAAGTTCTTATTTTTAGAAACTGAGTTTGAAACGGAATAAGCATAAATCAAATAACTTTTATAACCGAAAAAAATGGAGTTACGGGAAAAGGAATTATATAAAAGTTGTTCTTCCAAACATTTAAAAGGAACTGATTTTGGCTTCTTGAAATTGAAAATGGAGAAATTAAGCCTAATCAAAAGAACCCTAAGTTCCTTGTTATAAGGGAGAGTACAGAAGCTTAATGTTCTTTCCTTGTTTAATAGTCTGAGTCATTTACCTTTCTGTGGAAGAACAACTTTTATATAATTCCTTTTCCCGTAATAACTTTTAAATTGTGTAGTTGATATATTACGGGATACGCTTAGTGGCCAGCTTACTATTAACAATTTTATGTGTAAGGTGTTTTCAGCAATTATGTAATTTTATGTCAACTGCTCCCTTTAAAGAACATTAAAAACTTTAAGAATCATTCCTGATTTTGTTAAATGTGATATACAAAGTTTTATTTTATTCATAGAAAGATTGGTTTGCGATTTGTAATTCCAAACAGGAAGCAATGTTGAAGGAAGAGCTTCGTATTGTGGAGAGATCAAAGAAACGTGAAGGAGTAGATATGACATATCTTAAAAACGTCATACTAAAACTTCTTGAGACAGGTATCAAATCATGTTGCCCCTTGCATCATAAAGCTGATTTGGCATACATTTCTTAAAATATTGTACGACATATTGAGCCTGATTGTGAAAACTAATTCGAACCGGTTGAATCAGGAATCAGACTTCAAATTAGTTCAGCCCAATTAAAAAACAGAATTTTAAAGGAATTGCTATCAACCCTGACTTTTAATTTTTTTTTTACTTATTTCATACACGTGTTTTATTACATAGCATATTTATAAATAAGCATAATTGTGTTTTTATTATCATTTTTGTAAATATTATCATTTAAATAATTCGAATTAGTTTTAATAACAGTTACATCATCATAGTTGAACCCTCAATTGGATTGCTGTTAAAATTTCAAACTTTTAATTAATTTTCCACCGATTTAACGGTATAATCTTGATATTGAATATTGATCAAACAAACTTATGGAATTTACTGTTGGAACTGTTTTTCCTGTTTCAACAGGTGAAGTGGAAGCATTGCTGCCTGTCGTTGGAATGCTTCTGCAATTCAGTCCTGATGAGGTATACTTCATAATTTTTAACCTTGAACGTTCTAGGAAATCATTTTTATTGAAATATCCCTTGGTAGTGTTTTTTCCCCATAGAAAATGTTACAAATTAGCATTCTAAAATGCAATCAATAACACTGGCTGATGATCAATTGGCATCATATTAAACGATAGCTTTTACCCACCGATTTAGCTCGGTTGGTGGGCGTGGTCAGCTGAGAACCCCCCATCCCGAGTTCGATTCCCTCGAGCGGCAGTCTGGGGGCCCCAAAGTGCCGGCCGAGGGTACAGTGGCGTGGGTGGCCTGGTAAGTCGGCCGGGGTTTATGGACCGCCAAACGCTCTCGGCAAAATCTGACGTGGCAGCAGACGGTTCATCGTCACCAAAAAAAAAAAAAACTACAGCTTTTGCAATTTAAACTCATATTTTGCACCCCATACCTGTAGATAAGGAAGTGTCAACAAGCATACCGGTCGAATATTGCTTCAAGTCCATCTGCTTCTGTAGACTCTACACCACGATCTCTCTTTTCAAGATTCTCTTTTTCAGGATGACTTATTGGCATCATAAGCATAATATGATTAGGAGCTGCAGCTGGCTTCTCCATAACATTTTTTACAGCCATGTTTTTTTTTTTTTTCTTCTTTTTGGAGAGATATGGTAAATAGCTGGCATATATCAAATTGGTGTTTTATTCTAAGTGTTCCTTTGTAACATTTTTTCTGTCAATAAATATGATTATACTCAATAAATTTATAGTTTTAAGCTGATGTTTCGGCCGATCTTAAAGCAACTTTTTAATACAAAAATTTTATATCTTATACTAAAAAACTGCTTTAAGATCAAACAGTAAGAAAGTCATCCTAAACGAAGCCTAATTTTTAATTTCACTGTAGGTTTTGCATAAAGATGAAGAATTGCTTCTTGTACAAGCAGTTTTTTTTTTTTTTGATTGCATCTGTGCCAAGTTATTTGACAGATATCTTTTTTTGCATGCTTAAATAGAAGAAAAGAAGGCTGGCGTAATCTTTTAGATCTTACTCATGGAAATTGTACAAGTAATTCATCAATACGTGACATGCGAGCATAGTTCAATTTAATTTCCAAAGGAATTTTGATTCAAAAAATCAACTTAATGCTTTGAATTAGTTCAGCTTTCTTTAATTCTTCTGGGTCGCTTTAATGTAGAGTAAAATTGAAATAAAATGAAAAGTTAAATATATTTTTTATTTAAATGGCTATATGTTATGTATATCAGATATTCTAATTGAATTCAATCGCACAGAATGGCAAAATTAGACTGAAATAAATCAACTTGTCGTTAACTACAATTCAATTCAATTATTATTATTATCATTATTTGTTATTCTTTTTTCAGTTTTTTTTTTTAATCTTGGATCTATTGTTTAGAGTGATGGTGAAATAGATGGGAATATGATCAATAAAATTTAAGTTGGACGGTTGAAGTGGAGGAATGTATCGAGCTTTTTGTGTGATAGGAAAATCCTCTCAAACTTAAGAGAATTTTTTAAGATAATAATGAGACTTGCCGTGCTTTATGGTGTCGAGATAAGGATGCTTAGGTGGATGAGTGACTTTACCCGTAAAAATAGGATACAAAATGAGCATAAATGGTGAAAAGGTTAGAGTAGCTCTAGTGGAATATAGATGGTTTGATCACATAAAACAATAGCCTTCTAATGATCGGTTAGGAAAATAAATGTATTATATTTAATTTATGTTAAAAAAGTAGATATAAACCTACAAAAATTTGATTACAAAATATTAGAAATGATCTTTTTTTTTTATTAGATTTAAATGAGAATTTAACTTATAACAACAAGACAAATTGAAGAAAAAAAGAATTCATGTAAATGAATTTTAGGGTTTAGTAATTAGTTCAACAACCTACGCAGAATAATGAGGAATAATTTGAGGTAAACTATCTCATCAGTCTTAGGCTTTCTTTTGGGATGACTTCTTTATTATTTTTTAAATAAAAATTTTATTTAAAATCTACTTTAAAAAATAATAAGAAATTCGTTCCACCCAAATGAAGCCCTTAAGACTACAAAGCTTGATTTCAAAAACAAAAGGCAAAAAAATTCTGCCACATAAATCTAAATTTAATAAGTTCTGTTAATAATATACATTCTGAAATGAAAATATTAATGATACAATATTACGAGAACAATGAGGACAACCTGACTTTGTTCTCTCCTTCAGCCATTCTCTTATCTGCTTCAGAAATTGGTTCACCTTTCATCGTGTCCATAATGATTTTTCCAAGAACGAATCTCGTTTCATTCAAATCCCCTTTCTTGAGCAGCTCGTAGTTTATTTCTGCTCTCATCTTTCTGGATGATTTTTTTTCTTTTATATGAAGATTTCCTTCTTCTTTGCCATGGCAATTTAAGCAAATATCAATAACATCAAAGAGTTTTGATACTTTTCTCCCCGTGTTCGGAGCAACAAAAACCTGCAGATCAAAGAGGAATTTGATCATAAGATGTTTAATTTTCAATTTTTTACCATTTCATCTTAAACCTTCACTGGAAATGACTTTAAAATCTTTACAATCTAAATGATTTATTTTTATAAATATGAGATAATTATCTATTTTCTTGAATAAAATATTAGCAATTATAAAATAATAAATTCGAGTAAAATCTGATATGATCTTATCACCTTCATTAGTTGCTCCATACTCATAACCACCATGAATGTTTTTAAAATCTTATACTAGTCTAATAACTTGTCTATTTAAATCTTCTCCAATAAAAATTTTTCTTCAGCATCTATATTTTATATTAATTCTTCTAAGTCATTCTAAAATTTTATTTTTAAACACATATTCAAACATAATTGATGAGCATATGCACTTAAATATTAATAAACTTAGCATCAACAATAATTTTTAAAGTTATATTTTTATCTCCAATTTTATTAATTTCTACATTCTTATCCTTCAAACTCTTATTTGAAATCACACCAACTACATTTCTAATACAACTATCTGAAAATCATAAGTTAAATCCAAAATTATCAAACTTATTAGCATTTTTCCTAAATCCAAAATCATTTATTAATATGTATATAAGAGTATATATATTTCAAATTTTTATCATAATTCTAATTTCATGGACTTGCTTTTTTATCCAGAGCGATGGTGCACTGGTCCTGCACATTTTTTGCTATATTCATTCCATACATAGTGTCGCTTCAAGGGAACATCATGGCATTAATACAATATATTAAATGATTTATATCATGATTCTTAGACAAGTTTAACACTAGCTATTGATTAACTAACGTAATCCCTCATTTTTCTTATTCAGGATGTGGGACTCGACAATAATAGTATATATATATATATATAGCAAGTAAAGTTCGATTAGTTAATTGAACTCAAGATATTTGTGTATAAAATGCAAATCTGAAAATACTACATGACAATGGATCACTTACCAGGCATTGAGATGAAGATAGCGGGCCGTATTTGGCCAAAGATTGTTGAAGAACATTTGAATCAGTTAAAACTTCCACAGAAGACTTGACCAGTGATGCAAATCGTGAAGTTTCTTTTAAAAGAAGTTCATCCAGTTTAGCTATCGAGGGCGGTAAAATTTCAGGAACGAAGTAAATGAGATCATCAGAGCTTGCAACAGCTTCATTCCATGTCCCATGGTACAAGATAGAAGAAAAAGTCCAAATAACAAGAGAGTCTTGAGGATTTTGTACCAAAGCCAGATGAAAAGCCAACAATCCTAGCCTGTTTCATGACATTTCAGCTTTAATTAAACAATTTCAACGTATTAATTATATATCCTGCAAAATTGGTAAAAATGAACAAAAAGTAGAAATCGCTAGCCATGTAAGTCATCAAATATGCACGTTCACTCCGTCCACTATGTGGGGTCCTTTTTCTCTATTGTGACCTGTTAAGAGTCAAATTCTCATCTAAATCTAAAAAAGAAAGGTCATTTCTAATATTTTCTAACCAAGTCTTTTTAGGTCTACCTCCACCTTTCTTAACATAAGTATAATCTAATACATCTACTTTCCTAACCGGGTCATGGGAAGGCTACTGTTTTATGTGATTAAACCATATAAGGCGACTCTCTCTAATCTTATTTTCCACTGGAGCTACTCCAACCTTTTCACGTATATGCTCATTTCGTATCATGTCTTTAAGAGTAAAACCACTAATCCACCTGAGCATCCTCATCTCTGCAACACTTAACTTAATATTATGCTTCTCTTTTAATGGCCAACATTCTACACCACAAAGCATTGCACGTCTCACTCCCTTAAAGAAATGAAAGAACAATAAAAATTTTAAACTATTAGAAATTTCAAGGAACTATAAACTTTAATTATAGCGAGAATTTGCAGTGGAGTATAGAATATGAAAGTTTGCATTTCATGTAAATCTAGAAGTTCAGTCTCAACTTGTTATCAGCATTTGATCTAAATACAGGGCTGTGCAACAGTGCAAGGGCTCAGCAGAACTTAAAAGAATGGATTCAGGTTATATAAGCAAGAACTAGTATGAAGGGCAAACCAAAAGAAGAATTGGGATATCAATCTAAATACAAGGCTTTTTCACCAGCACTGATAAAGGCAGTGGAAGAATGTTGCTATACCTATGAAAATGCCATTGTGGCTGAATCAAAAGGCTGACTTACATGGTAACAATCAATTGACAATTTCACCCATCTAAAAAATATCCACATGATCAAACTATAAACCTTTCATTTTAATTACATCAAGCACAGAAAATTTATACCAACTACTCATAACTCTAACCTCCTCTCCCTTATTGACCAGGAATGGGCATCTATTTAAAACAGTTGGAGCCAATTCGAGTTCAAAAAAGAGCTGAACCATCACAAACCAGGTTGAGATAGGTTTGAGTTTAACGCAAATTTAAAGTATTTAAGTATATAATCTACGCATGCCATAAACCTCACTCCCTTCATTTTTTATGCAGGAGTAACATTTACACATTATTAGCAAATCTTTCAATCATATAACATCCAATTGTCACATCAAGACCATTCAATTTAAGCTTTAGACAAAAAATAGTGCAATATCAAATTTCAAGATGAATTTGACAAATGCCAAGCATACAAAAGTAACAGCTTAACAAGCCGTCTAGATATTGAGATAAATGATTCATTAAATTAATGCAATATTCGAATCAGAATAAATTTTTTAAGCATGTATAAATAACAGTACAATTTCAATGGATTTGATTAAAAAAATTATAGAAGATGTACTTTTAGTGAGGGGCATTACATGTCATCTATTGTTTTCATCAAATTTGATCAACTGTCCAATCTTTATAAAGAGTAATCAAATTAGATCACCAAATTGTTCTTAGGTTATAATTTTAAATTAATGATGTTGAACTTGCATTTGAAAATGGGAGCATTAAAAACTAATTATGTGGAGAATCGATTTTTTTTTCAGGTAAAAGGATGGGAGTCTATCACTTATATATATATAATTTGTTAATCTACATTTATAAATATCTAGTCTAATTTTTCGATGTATTTAATCAATCAAAACTATCAAATATACTAAAAATATCATTTAAAAAATCCGAAATAAACTCTAGCTATCTAAAAGACCACATATCGAAATTCCAACCATCTTCTCATCAATTGAAGTCATTCATTGAGAAAAGTTAGATGCATCTAATCGATGAGTAAATAAGCTTTAAAGTTTTTGAAGTTGTGCAAATAACTAGTTTTAATAATGCTAAAAATAACAAGTTAGCCTCATGTAGAAATCCTATTTCTTTTATTTCTGGAATTAAATCCCGGTTTCCCAACTTCTCTCTTACCCGCTGCCCCCTAGTTCTCCTCTCCCCTTAATTTGATTTTGATTCAATTTGCCACCTAAGCATTGGAAATCAACTCCTGAGTCTCCCCACAACTGTCCACGAGATTCTCCACTCCATCCTCCAATATCTCAGCCACTCATTAGGGAGAAATCCCTGAAAATTCCGCTTCCTGCATGCTGGCCAGATTTCAAGATTGATCCCTCCCACAATCCTAAGGTTGGAATCCATGATAGCTGCTGTCCAGAGCGTCCCAAGCAATAGAATTTGCTGTCAGATTTTGGAGAAGGAAAAAAATCTGAAATTTTCTCAGATGCTATTTTCAAACTTTGGTCAAGAGGCTTGGAGTTTATTTTCTCTTCCAAGTGCAAGAGATGTTTGGAATCTGAAACTGTTTTCAAGTTCTACAAGAAGAGTTGGTGCTTGTTCTCCCTCCTCTTTCAAGAAAGAAAACTGAAACCTCTAAGATTTTTTGTGAAATATGAACTTGCTGTCAAGAAAAATTGGAGAGGAGACTTCTCCCTAGCAACGCCTCCGTTCTACATCAAAATTCTATAATATCAGTAGGAAAAACCATGTAAATAATTTCTAGCCTTCTAAACTACACATTGAAATTCCAACCATCTTCATGATCTTTAGTCATTTAGAAAATGTTGATGCATTTGATTGTTGAATAAACACGCTTTAAAGTTTTTGAAATTCTGCAAATCACTAGTTTTAATTATGCTTAAAATAACAGGCAATTACAATCTTACATTTGATGGTTATAACATCAAAACTTGGAGGATGGAAAGAAAATGTGAAAATAGAGGATGAAAAGAAAAGATGAAAATGTACAGTGAAGTGGTCGGTGACCATCTAAAGCACAAGGTTTTGTATAGTAGCATTAGTTTCAGGAATCAGCAGGACTCGAATGATATGGAATACGGAAGAGGGTTTTGAAGGTAGCTAGAAATAAGAACAAGTGATCTTTACCCTGACATGCAATTATAAAACACAACAAACTTGCATATCATTTCCTACCATAAATCACAACTGCATGGACGGTCAGCTCTAAGCAATTTATCAGCATTCATTAGCAAGTCCTGCAAAAGAAAACAGCATTGTGAAAAAACGGTGATAGACCATAGTAGATTGTACTTCAGAAGTGGGACAATCTTTAATGCGAATTAAGACTTTGAAAACAATACACCTATGAAATCAACATTTCAGATATCTCTGATGGAAAGCTTTTTTTTTTTCGTGTAGATCAAAACATGATGTATAAATAAATTTTCACTCAAACAACTCGAGCAGTTATTACTCATAAATTATATTAACATATATGAACATGTGAGTGCATGCCCAAGCATTTTCCAATTAAGGTTTTGTTTGGGACGGCTTTCTTACTACTTCATAAAGCAGCTTTCTAGTACAAAATTTTTAATTTTTCTACTTGAAAGCTGATGTAAGAAGCAGTAAAAAAGCTAACCCAAACGAAGCCTAAATAAACCAAACTTGAGGTTCTTTCCGGTTCTAGAAATCTGCGTCATTTCAACCCTCTGTTCTTTAGATGTTCCTTATGTGAAGAGGTCCTTGTTAATAGCCTCAAATTTATCCACCATCAATTCAGCAAGGATGAAAAGACAATATATGCTCTATTTTCTCACATAATGTAACTAAATCAACATTCTATTTGTCATCCAAGTAAATGAATCTTGCTAAGATGTAAGCTTCTCTAATGGAATAACTTGTAAGTGCGTTAGCACATTAAAGTAAGCATCTATCCTTAGGTGTGATACTCTCTTAGCGTTAATTGGAAAATGAGGATTTAATAAAATTCCTGGAAAATTGAAAAAGATTTCCAATCCCTTAATGTGTCTGGTTGGTCATTTGAGGATTCCAGTTCTTGACCAAAGAACTCAAATCTTCAAAATTCGAGGGATTTGAAGCCGGAAGTCCAAAGTTTGCATTTGCTTTTCTAAACTACCACTGCCCACCCATTATCTCTCCACTCTCAAGTCTAAGCCCCAAAAATTTAACATGGTAAAGCCCTCATCTCTCCATTGCCACTCGCTAGCTCCTAGCCATCCCTTACATTATATTTCTCATGGTGCTGTCATCTTCATTCTGAACAGGTTTTGGGAACAGCAAAAGAGATCTTGCTGTTTTAAGTATGGCGGGCAACACTTGGTTAGTTAAATCTTGCATTTAACTACATTTCTCTCAACACCATTGTAAGGCCATCATCCACGTCCACCTACAACGTTGCCACTGCATAACTTTCTCAGTACTCATTCTTATGTACCATTTCTTTGAAATACTAACTAGAGGCACCAATGGAAAATAAGTATTGGCTAGAAGTACCAATATTCTTGAATTTAAAAAAATGTTTTTTTTATGACATCATCTATGGTCTATTAAGAAATGAGAAAAGGGACTACTTTGATTCCTCTTTAAAGAGTTAACAGACCAAAATGGTCATTTAATACAGTTGGGGATAATTTTGACCTTTCATAAAGAGTCTAGAGACTATTTTGATCCTTTTCCCATTTAGGAATTGTTACATTTAGTGATGGGTTATTTGTAGATTTTGATAGGATTAAAGTATTTAATGATTGACACATCTACTAATAATCCTAAAGTTTGGAGCTTTCATGATTTGGCATTTTTTTATAGAATATTATAGCACTAATCACCAACTAACTTAAGAAAAGAGAGTTTAAATGGATTAAATATATTGATCATGAATATATTGAAATCAATGAGAGACGTATAAATAAACATGTTCTTAAATCATTTGATTTTAATAAAGTGATTGAAGCTTCTTGGGGCACATCTGGTGCAGGCATTGTAGGTGTTTTAAGTCAAGAAAGACATTTTATTACATTCTTTAGTGAGATTTGAATAATGCTAAATAAAAATATTCAAACCACGATAGATAATTTATATTTGTATGCAGGACCTTCGTTATTGGAGGCATTATCAATTGCCTAAAGATTTTGTACTTTAACCATCAAGCTTTGAAATATCTGAGTTCGCAAAAAACATTAAGGATATAGACATGCCAAATGAGTTGAATTTTATGGAAAATATGCGTGTCCTTAAACAATATATTAGAGTTGAGATTAAAAGTAATTATACTTAAAAGCAGTGATGAGGACATCAGCCAGAGATTTCGACATGTATATCATCGGAGGAATTGTAGATCGACAGCTACGATTCGGAGCCTTTACTTTTGATGCATTCATGTATTGCTTATTGTTTTGGATTTTAGTTTTTCCTATTTTACCCCTATAGGTAGTGAGTTCTTGTTGTAGCCCCGAGGGCATTTGAGTCTTTCTTTTTCTTTTATTATTTAGACCTATATATATAGAGGTCTTTTGCATTGTATAAGGTTAATGTGACTTAATAAAATTTTCAGATTTTGAGTTCTTGTTTGTGAGCTCTTGTAGGAGAGGTGAAGCCTAGGAGAGGCTCAAACGAAGTACCCAACGGCCCCTTCAATTGAGCTCTTGGTTTTCTCTATTTTTCTTGTTTTCTCCTTTCTCCTATACCCGCCACCACCCCCTAACCCTTCCTCCTTGCCGCCGGCCAAAACCCTCCCTAGCCTTTCCCATTCCCCCCCATAACTCGCCGGCCCCATCCCCATCATCCCAAGCCGCCGGTCTCCACCCTTCAACCGCCGGTATTCCCTCCCGACAACCCTCCTAGCCGCCGGCCACCCTCATTTGAATTTTCAAATTCCATTGGCTCCTAATTACTTTCCTAAGATATCCCAATGGCAATTAGGAAAGAGTCTATATTTGAATTCAATTAATTTTGAATTTCAAATACTTTCCTTATTGTTAGAACCTAATTAGTAAGCCTCCAAATTAAATCAAATCTGAAATTATATTCATATTTGATCCCAATCATTAATTAAATCCTTGGGCCCAAATAAATTGAACCTAGACTCTTCCGCCACACACCCCCCCCATGTGGCCGGCCCACCCTCTCTCCCCTTTCTCTCTCCAATTAAATCCCCATAATCCCCTCTAACCGCTGCCCCTCCTCCCCTTGCCTATTTGGAGTGATTTTGAATTTTAAAATCTATTCTTTCCCATCCCTAGAAAAATCTGAAATTAATTTCAGATTTTTCTAAGCCACCCTTTTCTCTTCCCTCTCCCAACCTCCTTGAACCCCAACCTAACCAAGCCAAAATCCTCCCCTTGCCTCAAACTCTCATAACTTCTCTCCTCCTCCAAATCAAACCCTCTCAAGGATCAAGTCCGACAAGCCGACATTGCCTCCATGAATGGTCAATCTTGAAGTCAACCACGGATTTGCATACAACTCTCAAGGACAAATCGACATCCTTCAATCACCATTCTTTGATCCCGACTGGGAATTCAAAGATTCCATTGAAAACTACGTAGATCACATGCTCTATCATCTCGCCGAGACGATCGACGAGCAACAACCAACAGGACAGTAGCAAATCATCGGACGTCCATCAACTTCCCCTCCTCCGGCTACTTCTCCGACGAACAATACCTTAAACGTCACTTGTCTCGTGGTGGCATCACTAGGATTACTTTTAATCTTTCTCTGCTAAACACCACTTTCAGGAGCGAGAGTGAGAGAACTCAAGGTGAACATTTCTAATTGTTAATTCGTGAATTTTTGTTATTCATTGCATTTAGTTTTACTTATTTATTTTGTTGTTATTTGCAAGTATCCTTTTAATCTCGTTTGTGACCGTATGTTATTACATAACTTCTAATTGAAAATTCAGGAATCTAACTTGGTGAAACATAAGATTTACAATTGGCAAAGTTTTGTTGAAATTATTATTAATTTCCCAATGCAATTCTTGTTTTCATACATGTTTCACATCAAGTAGAGTTATTATTTTACATGCATTACAAGGTAAACTGACTGATTTTAAACACATAAATGAGAAACATGTCACTTTGAAGGATTTTAGTGAGATTTATGAGAACTCAAATAACAATTCATTTGTGCTTAACAAAGAATATATGTTCAAAGAATGTTATTTATTATTTTATTTATGCACTTTCATACTTGTATTCCAAATTCATCTTTAAGAGACTTTATAATCTTGGAATTATATGTTTGTCATACTACTAATTGGCATTTTGGGCTGAAGATTTAATTGGCATTTTGGGAGAGAGAAGATAATAATAATGATTGAGGATAGGTAATTTTAGCAAGCTTGAAAAGAAACATGACACATATTGTTTCAAACTGTATGATTTGTCCAACTATTACAACAACAACATCAAGCCTTTATCCCACTATGTGGGGCCGGCCACATGAATCTTTTTTCTCCATTGTGTCATGTTAAGAGTCAAATTCTCATTTAAATCGAATAAAGAAAGATCATTTCTAATATTTTTCAACCAAGTCTTAATAATGAAAAAATGATTTGTCCAACTGTTAAAGGAAAAAAAAAACATATTATAGGTCTTTTGACGCCTTTGTCTATTCCATACAAGCCTCAGAAAGAATTTTGAATAAATTTATGTTAGTTTTAACATGAATATTGAGAAAGCAATTATTATATGTTTGTGATGCCAAGTCATTTTTTTTAAATGGTAGGACGCTTTTTTAAAGGCTCATTTCATGCCATATAATAAAATAGTTAATGCTTTTCATATCATAAAATTTTATTTTTAATGAGGTGATTGATTATCCAAAATAACTATCTTTTATTATGATGTAAATTTCATGAATAATTTCCGTTCGGAAAAAAAAATAGAACACAATTTAAATTTTCAAGCACTTATCACCCCACAAACTGACGGAAAAACTAGGATAGTTGATAGAACTTTGGGTGAAATGTTAATTTTTAGATAAACAATCACACATCTGGTTGGAATTTCATATTGCGTAGAGGTAAGTTTGCATACAATTCATTTGTCAATAAATGCCAAGCATGAGCCCATTTAAGATGGATATAATGTTTCAATCTAGAAAATATATTGAGAGTAGGCTTACTGCATTTGCACCATTATTTGCAAAACATATGCATGACTTACATGAGAAAATTCACAAAAGTAGCTCCTAAGTATGGTAATTATAAATTTTCTAAAGACATAAATAGAAATCAACACAATTTAAATCGGGGATAAAGAAATGATGCATTTGAATTCTAAAAAGCTTCCTTAAAAAATCTTTAAGAAACTAAATTTAAAAAAAAATCGCTTTTGCATCTCATTGAGCTTAGAGACTTGAAAGCATTCACTTACTATTTTGATGTATAATAAAAATACAGATAAAAGTTATGTTTGAGTTTTAGATGCCTTGTTGTTTCATGTGCACAAAATAAATTAACTAGTAAAGCATGTTACCATTAACATGATAGACCTTTGAGCTGATGGTTTATTGCTTTGAAATGTCAAGTAAGCAGCCTGAATGGAAGCAATTCGAACCATAATTTCTCTGTTCAAATAAAAAATGAGAAGCCACATATGTAGATGAGGTGATAAATGCTCCACTCACATGAGCAGGAAGCAATAAATCAAGCAGTTTGAATTTCTTAAGTAAATTAATAGACGAAGAAGCTGCTCCATGTGCCATCATAAAATTCATTTCCAGCATTAACCTTTCCTAAATGAACAAAGACGACTTCCATGTCAGTATATAGAGGAAACGGTGACCAGCAATCTTGCAACAAAAAGGGAAATATTTCCTGTACCTTGTTAAGAGTTAGTACAGATGAAGATAAGTCTTGTATTGCAGTTTCTGTTTCTTTGGAAAATTGTAAGCCCAGACGTGCTGCTATTCTCATGCCACGAAGAATTTTCGCTTGACAAGCAAAATTTTCCACGTAGAGAAACCAACTTGTAATTGGGCTCATAAACTCGTAAAGTAGAAAAATAAAAAGGAAGAATAATAAGGTTTCGTTTAGAACGGCTTTCTTACTGCTTTTTAAAGCAACTTTTTAGTATAAAAATTAAACTATTAGTACTAAAAAGCTGCTTTAAGAAGCAGTAAGAAAGCCCTCCCAAACAAACCCTAAAATGAACTTACCACAATCCTCTTTAAAGGCTAAATGAGGTGGATTTACTGTCCGCACCTAAATATGAAAATGGAAATGAGAAAGAAAACTACCAATCTCATGGAGAGGATGTAAAATTGTAAATCAACATAAAGCTACTGCATGCACAATAATCAGAGGATAACAACCTTGGATGCCCTTAAATCTTTTATACCACCAACAAAGTCGTAGATTTTGTATTTGAATGGGTCGAAGAATAAACTGTTGCCAAAAATTATGATAATCAGGTGTAAGTCATCTGTATGAACAAGGGCAATTTTTAGATAAGCAACATCAGTTCCAGCACAGAAAGAAGGGAATAATGACTATATACTAACCAATTGATTGTAAAATCCCGTTTCATGCAGTTCTTCCAGCATGCAAAATCTCCGTCATTATAGTTATTTGATAATTGAGGAAAAATAATTTCCTCTTGTTTATCTTCATTTCTAACAATAGTGTTGAAGCTAGAAACCTGGCATGTCAAAGATGCCATCAACCAAGTGGACACAATGTGTTTGAGGGAGAAACTCAGATACAGTAAATCCAAACCTCAATAACATGGCCGGAAATGTAAACCTGGCATATAGGGAATCGACGCCCTATAATTATACAATGCCGAAATTGCATTTTAATCTGCAAGAAGTAAAATACAAGCAAAAGACATACAGATACTTCATGTGAAAACCAACAAGGCACATCAGTCCATGAAAGATTGTCGCAAAACCTGTTTTAGAGTAGCAGCGGTAATCACATCAAAATCTTTTGGTGTTCTTTTCAAAATTAGATCCCTTACGCACCCTCCGACAAGATATGCTACATATCCTGCCCAAGAAAATTTTTTAAAGAGAAGAGGGAAAAGAAAAGACTGATAATAACATTTGATAAACAAGAATAACACAATTCAAACTAAGAAAGGGCTTTTATTTTTATTTTTCTTGTTTCACCAAAGGAGTAGTGATGAAATGTTGGTGATTCACCATATCATGAAACAAAAACTTTTTATGATTTTTTCATGATAAATTAAATGAATGTTTATTAAAGCTGGTATTTTTACAACACCACAAAATTCGAGTTATTTTACAAGGTTAGAAGGAGAAAAGAGTTATCAATAGCAAACTTGTTTTGTCTTTTGTCTCTAAGTGTAAAGTCACTCATCTACTTGAGCATCCTCATCTTTGCAACATTAAACTTAATTTTATGCTTCTCTTTTAATGGCTAACACTCTGCGCCATAAAGCATTGTAGCTCTCACCACGATCTTACGTAATTTTCTCTTAAGTTTGAGAGGTACTTTTCTATAACACAACATGTCGGATGCATTCCTCCACTTCAACCATCCAACTTGCTTTCTAGTAATAATATCCCCATCTATCTAAAACGTATATTCTGTTTAATAACTTGATTACCTAAAGTCACAATCTCTCCACTAGATCTATTAATACTAAAATTATTTCATGCATTCGGTTTTAGATCTATTACTACTAAAATTATACTCCATGCATTCGGTTTTAGAACTACTTAAAAAAACCTTTAGACTCTAAAGTTGACCTCCATAATTTAAATTTTCCTTCAACTCCCTCTCTAGTATTATCAACAAAAAAACATACATCAAGGTACCTCCTCTTACAAATATCTAGTGAGAACATCTATGACTAAAGCAATATATATATATATATATATGGGCTTAAAGCTGATCCTTAATGTAATCCAACTAAAATAGGAAAATAATTAGTCAAACCACCTTGTGTTTTGACACAAGAAAAAACTCTTGTATATATATCCTTAATGACATAAATATAAGCATTATTAACTCCTTTCTTTTCTAGAACTCTCCAGAGAACTTCTCTTGGAACTCTATCATATGCATTCTCTAAATTAATAAATATCATAAGTAGATCCTCCTTATACTCTCTATACTCTCCATCAAACCTTTCAACAAATATATAGCTTCCATAATAGATCTACCGAGCACGAAGCCAAACTGATTTTGAGAAACATTAGAATCACTTCGTAAACAATGCTCAATTACTCTCTCCCATAGTTTTCATGTATGACAAATTAACTTAATTCATCTATAATTTGTAGTCTTGTGCATCACCTTTATTCTTCAAAATAAGAACAAACACACTCCTCCTCCACTCATATGACATCTCTTTAGTCATTAAAATAATATTAAAAAGTTTAGTAGGCCAAGAATTTCCTTGATATCCTAAGTATTTCTACACCTTTATAAGAATATCATCAAGTCTGATTGTTTTTCACACTTCATTTTCTTAAATGTTTCTCCGACTTTGATTTTACTAATGCGACAACAAAAATAAAAATATTTACTTTCATTTAGGGTGCTAAGGTTACTAAAGTGAATCGTATTCTCACAATCTTTATTGAAAAGTTTATTGAAATATCTCATCCACCTATTTGAATATCCTCTTTTAAGAAAAAGCATTTTTTGATCTTCATCCATAATATATTTCATTTAAACTAGATCCTTATAGAGTGCTTTCTTAAACAAGCGCCACTCATTAAATATAGAGTGTTTTCTTAACTTGATATTTTCTCACATTAAAAATCAACAAATTTATAGTGTATATGTACAACTTCAAGTATTTGCAATTATTTCGTATTTAGAAAGAAGCATCTAAATAGCAAAAACCTTTTCATTCTTTTTGCTTTCTTACGTAACTTTTTCTCTCATCTACTTAAGCCTCAACATGTAGGCTATTTGATATCTTTTTATTTTAGAATGGTTCTATACAAATAGATTGATAGCAATTGTTGTCAACAGCTAACATTGAGGATTAAATATGTAGAAATACATTGACTAGGGATTCTTCTTTTGATTATGAAAAAAAGTTAATGCTATAGGTTGACAATTTAACACTGATAATTGTGACTAGCGGTTAACTTTTTTGCAGGTTGACAACCTGTGGACATCGCATTTTAATTATAACTAGGATAAAACTGATAATAACACTGATTGGCAACAATGATAATGGGGATAAGGCTGATGATGAAGTCGTTGTTGACATTTATTGCAAGGATGATACTTGAGATAAAGATGATGATGGTGCTAATCTTGACTACAAGGAAAATAAAATTAGTAACATTTTTGCACGTTCCACACTATAGAAATTTTATGTAAATAAAAAAGTAAGCATTAGAATTATTGATGTCAAATAAATCGCAAACAATTGACAGTAATATAATATCAAATGTAAGCTTTGCATAGTAACAGGAACTAGTGACCTAAAGCTCAATGGTGTTAAGAAATATAAAGGAAGAATGCACCATTTGTTTGAAGAGTTTTGAGGACCAACAATGTAGAAGGTAATATCGATTCCTTTCTAATCCCGAAAGTCCTTGAGTCCACAATCTTCCAAGCCGAGGTATCAAATGGACCTGATTTAGACACAAATGGTGAACAATAGCTTAGCATGTCATGTAACTATTAAAATAGCAACAGTTTAACATATTCAAAGCGCCAGATTGAAGTCATATATGTCCGTGGGCACGTAGCCGGCATATAAGGTAAAAGAATTTTAGAAGCACTTTACCCGAAGGAGGATTCAAGCTCGTGCCTTCGACTTGGTTGATCCCCATTACCGTCCTGGAAGTATGGTTCCACCTCTGACAGTGAAGAATTTATTACAAATTGTTCGATGAAATAAATGCCCCACTTGAAGACATAGAAGGTATAAGAATCACAACCTGCTGGATATAAATCAGGGTTCTCAGGCGGTCGAGAAAAGAAGGACAGGAGAGGAGTCCGCGGATTCTACGGGATATCGCCATTTTTTTGGTGCCAACTTTCGAGAACTAGGGCATCATTTTCTGAATCGTTGCTGAGGGAGTTCCATCAGAGCAGAGTGTATTGCTGAAGCGTAAATTCAATTTTAGTTATGATTATCAAATTAAATTTTTATATTTATAATTTTAATTTGATTTAGATAAATATCACTTTATTTTGTGTTATATATATGTCTAATATTTAAAATATTAATGACAAAATTATAAAAAGGAGTACATTTAATGTGTAAATATGCATAAAGAGTGTCAATAAAAAAAATTAAAAAAGAGCGAAAACGGAGAGCAGAAATCCGGTTTCTATAGAAATCGGATTATATCAAAATCCGATTTCCTTATATTAATCCCATTTTCGTTGGGTTAGTGAAGAAACCGGGTTTTTGCATTCCGGTTTCTATATTAAATTATTTCTTCCCTGCATCCCATAAAATTAGCTTGTCTGCCCGTGAATTATGCTTCGATTTTTCTCCTCAATTTCCACGCGGGGCTCACCTTCTAGATTCTTGTGAGAAGATCTGTCAAGGAGATTCGGTTCTCTGCCGACACTTGGAGAGTGTGAACAGACGAAGGGTTTGTTGCCTACACTTGGAGAGTGTGAATAGCCGAAGGGTTCGCTGCTTACACTTGGAGAGTGTGAATAGCCGAAGGGTTCGCTGCCTACACTTGGAGAGTGTGAACAGCCGAAGGGTTCTCTGCCCACACTAGGAGAGTGTGAAAGAAAGAAGGTTCTCTGCCAACATTGGGGATTATGTGAAAGGACGAACGATTCTCTGCCGCACTGGGTAGTGGTGAAAAGAGTGTTTTGTAAAGGCTTCTCCGCCTTGTTGTGGGTGCAAAAGGAGAGTCACTATTGGTATTAGTGCAATACTCAGAGGGTGTCTCTAGGGAGTGGATGTAGGTCTGGTTTAGACCGAACCACTATAAATCTGGTGTCATTTACTTTACTATTTTTACTTTTTCGCATTTTATTTTTAGCTTTAAAAACTCTGTGGTTGAAAAATGATTTCTACAAAAACTTAAAAGAAAATTTTCATTTCAGTTTAACTCATTTTAAAAAGAGGGAATAAATTTTTTTTAATCTACCAATTCACCCCCCTCTTGGTAGCCTTGGGACATTAACTTAGGTCTAACAACCTATTTACTATACTCAACATTTATCTTTTTTACTAAAGCTTCTATTAATAGGATTAATAAAATTAGGGATTTTTTTCATCAATTTGAGATGGTTAGTGGTCTTCTTTTGAATAAAAAGAATTATTGTTTTAACACGTCCAAGTGTTGCAACTCGAGCTTATGAGTTTTTGTTTTTGATGAAAATAAATATTGTGGTTCACTTTCTGTTTTCTACCTGTATTTGCATTATATGTTTGTATATGTGTATGCTAACTTTTCAGGATTATGATGCACCATTCAAGGCTAAAAATTTGGTAGAATAAGTTTTATTTGTAATATTCATTAATGTATTTTTTGATTTCTTGTGTCATGTCTAGTAAGGGTGTATGCTTGCCTGGTGACCATGCACACACACACTGAAGGGGAGTGAGATTGAGTTAATTTCTAGAAGTTTAAGTTTTGAACTAATCGTACTTGATGATTTAGATCATATAGAATGATCAGCTGATTAAACTAATCGTACTAGATGATTTTGAATCATCTATGATGATTCTTTATGATCTTGAAAAAAATTTAAGCAATGTTTCCAAATAATTTAAGCAATGTTTTATGAATAAAATTTTATTCTAATCATTCAGGATGATCTATATCATCCTGGACGATCTGTACAAATTTGTACTGATCATCGAGGACTATCCAGATATCATTCGGGACTATCATGTCAAATTCTACACATCATACTAAATGATCATGTGATCGTCTAGAATGATATTTTGCATCAGAATTGAGTTTTTAGGATTTTATGGAGCCCTCTTTTTAAGTACATCATACAAGAGATGATTTTTTCCACCAAGATTAATTTTTAGGGTTTTCCAAATCCCTCTATTTAAGCTTTATCAAGGCACTTTATAAGTGTCTTTGGCAACCATTGTAGATTCATTCTTCTGGAGGAAACTTAAAGATAGAACTTGAAAGTGAGAGAGGAAAGGGTGGAGTTTGAGAGAGGGAGAAGACCCTTGAAGGGGGTTTCAAGGGAGTGCGGAGCGGGGTTTCACACGGTTGCTCCAAAAAGCTTGCACCTTAGTACCATCAGATTCAAGGATCATCTTGAGGGAAGTTTTGGGAAGAAGAAGATCTGTTTGAAGTCAAAGGACCTGGCTACTCAGCCGCACCGGGAAAGGTAGAAGTGATTCTATAAGAGCTTCTCTGCCTAGCTGTGGGGGATAAAGGAGAGACACTGAGTTTAGTGCAATACTCGGAGGGTGCCTCTAAGGTGTGGACTTAGTTCAAGGTTTGATCGAACCACTATAAATTTGGTGTGTTCTTTCCTTTATTATTTCCGCACTTTAATTTTATTGTAATTAACTGCTTGGGTGAAATCTCAGATTGATCTTTTTTTTATTGATTCAATTCATTTATGCTGTAAGATATAAAAAGATTTCTCTTTTATTTAAAGAAAATTTCAATATCAATTCTCCCTCCCTCTTGGTTAGCCTCAAGACTTGTTCATAAGGGATTAACATCCCTAATGAACTTTCAAGTGGTATCAGAGCGAGATTCATAAAATTTAGTTTTTGAAAACTTTTGAATTTTTATCCATGTCTAATTTTTGTAATTATAGTATTACGAAAGGATATTCAATCACCCGAGCATCTTTATTTGAAAATATTACTTTTGATTTTTAGAAAATTCACATGTCTACTTTCTTGCAATAAATTGATTTTCAAATGTGGCAAATTATTTTAACTAGTTATCACATATACAATCATATGTTATAGATAAAATTAAATATGATATTCCTTTTAATAAATGGAGTAGGGAAGAACAAATCAATGCTCAATTGAATGCTAAATCATTAAACTATTTTTTTGTGCCTTCAATTTTAAAGATTTTATGTTTGTATCCATGTGAACTATTGGCAAGGAAATTTGAGATAAATTACACATTATATATGAAGGCACTAGTGAAATTAAGCAATCTAGGTTAAATTCTTTAATGCATGATTATGAACTATTTTACGTAAAACTTCATGAGATGATCTTAGATATGTATATTAGGGTTATTCAAATTGTGACGTCATTACATGCTTTAGGTAAAGAATTTTCAAACTTTGAAAAAGTTAATAAAATTCTATATTGTCTAAGCTGTTGCTATTTGTGAATTAAAAAATTTGAATGAATATTCTATTGATAATTTTATTGGCTCACTCATTTCCTACGAGTAAAGTTTGGGCCAAAGACTTTTGTATACAGATGAAACAATAATGCTAAATGTTGAAAATATGGAGAAAAGTGGCTTAGTTGGAGATGAAAGCTATGACTTATCAAGCAAATTAAAAGGCTCACTAAAGCATAAACAAAAGTGGAATAAAGGTAAAAATGATAAAAATGTTAAGATTTCTTCTGATGTTATTTGCTTTGGATGTAGGAAATCTGGACTTATAAAAAATCAGTGCCCTAATTTGAGAACTCTTCCAAGAAAAGAAAAGGGTAAAGCTAAGCAATTTGTAAAAATGGCTAATATAGAAAAGTAAAAGATCTCCTGGGCAGACCTAGCTTCTGAATTATCAGACCCAGAGCAAGATGATGTTTAAACCCTTGTTTGTGTGTTTATTTATTTGTGTTTGCTTCTTTTTTTTCTATGTTACTTTGGATTTTTTTTTGTTCTTCTTTAATTTTAAATTTTAAATTTTTCTTTAGTTTTCTTTTTGTGAAGTTCTCTCTGATCAATACACCTGTTCACTTTTCTAAAAAATAAAAACCTACCTTCTATTTTTCTTAAATTCTTGTATAAGTTGTGGTTGACTTCTCTAAAAATAGTTAAAGGAAACTCATAATTTTGTCTCTCTACTCATTTCTTAAAGAGGTTAATTTTCTTTTGATTAAAAATCTTCATCATATTATAAATTAGATTTTGAAACTGAACTTTTTCATCTCCCTACATTTTGTCTATAACATAAGGATCATTTGCATGTTGTTGAATCTACCTCATAATTTTCTTAATCAAGTAGTTAGTTTTGTTAATAGATTGGGTTTGCTTTTATTTTTAAAATTTCAAAAAAATAGCATTTTTGAAAGAAAAAAAAATGTGGTCAATGATGCCAAATCAAAAGATGCACAGTGATGCCAAATTGAGAAAGATACAATGTATCAAAAATTAAAAGATATATAAAGTGCATCAAAAAACTAACAAGAGGCATAAATTGAGCCCATAAAAAGTAATGCTTACCTTTTTTGTACTTCTTTAAGCTTAAGAAAACTCTTGATATTTTTTATACTTAAGCTTGAAAATCATGATTCCTGATTCACCAATATTAACATTAATCTTCTATTATATATGTTTTATAGAAGGAGTTATGAAAAAATTAGTATTTTTTTTCTAATTTGTTCATTGATTTAGATATTGGATTAAAAAGTTTTTTAGCCTTTAAAAGAACTTTAGCTTGAATTAACAATTTCAGAATTTCTAACCTTTCTGGGTTACGCATTGTCAATACATTCCTTACTATGTTTTTTAATAAATCAAGATGTACCTTTCTCATTTTAAGTATATTTATTTTTTTTTTTCACTCTATCGAGGATCATTTTGTTTTTTTAATCATTTTTATTATTCTGATTGTTTGTGCCCCAACTATTTTTGATAATGTCAAAGGAGGAGAACGTACTGTTGTACTTATATCCTTTCAAAAAAATAAAAAATAAAATAAAAACAAAATAAAAAAATTGTGTTCTCCTATCTTTTAAATGTTTATTCTAGTGAGGGGGACAATAGGAGAAAATGTTTTTAATTTTGCAAATTCAACCAGTAACATCTGACATCATCAAAAAGGGGGAGATTGTTGTAACTCGAACTTATGAGTTTATGTTTTTTTAAGATAATAAATATTATGGCTCATTTTTTGTTGTCTACCTCTATTAGCATTATATGTTTGTTTGCATGTATACTAATTTTTCAGGATTACGATGCACCATTCA